GAAATCTAGTTTAACAAATGCGGATGATTGAATGTGTTTAGATTTTATATTGTACTCACAAGTTCATAGATACACGTTCAGGAAATTCTTTGCTAAAAAAGGAATAAGAAAATGTACTATCAATCAATTATATTTAAAAAAGGTCAAGTCAATACTCGGTCTAAAAGACATAACTGATAAACAGTTTTATTCTTATTTTGAAAAGATTGATTATTGAATTCAAATTCATGAGTTCTCTCCCACATTAACACTCAGTGTAATCATGATAGAGTGGAACATTTTATAATAGGTTTAGTGGGAGCAAATATTCATTTTAATGGTGAAACCACATTATTACTACGTAATGTCACTATTTAATAATAATTAGGGCTAACTTGTGCCTAAAGGCACAACAATGTAAACCAACCAGTTAATTTGGAGAAGTGATGAATGAAGAACCCGATTGCAGATTGAGGAGATGAATGTAAAATTCAATGTGAATAGTTTTGAGAAAGATGTTGATGGTTGTTGGATGAGTTTACTTGAAACTGTCGAATGAATTTATTGAAACTGTCATATTTTATATTATTAAATCAAAAAGTGGGTAAGTAAACTTCACAATACTTAATAACTATCCTATCATAATAACTGTACTTCTAGAACTCATGCCCGATCGTTAGACTGCTTCTTAAACGTCTGATGGCACCTTGTTCCGATTTGAGCTCACTCACTCAAGAAAGGTTCAATCATCAGAAATAGTTGGAGGAGAGCTTCAATTGAAAAAAAGCCTACTTATTCTACTCGAAAGCCCTAATTAGTAACACCATATACCTGGTTTCTAGAGTAAACCATTTCATATAAAATAGTGCAATTCACTTTACCCATTTGTTATTTTATCATTGAATAATAGTATTTCGTGACACGTGATATTACCATTATATTTAATATTTTCATGTTTAGTGGAGGAATTAGAGAGTGAAGTATTTCAAAAAAAAAAAAAAAAGAGAGTGAAGTATTTCATATTTGTGCTTTGACCAGTGAAATATTCATGATAGATTACACTGGTCTAATCATGGGCTTAATGGAGGACATAAAAAGATTGACAAAAAGGCTAAGCGCATTTAGGAAGATAGCCCATAAAAATAATGAGGTCAAATCGCACCACCCTTTTGCAAGAAAAGCTTTTTATTCACTAATGGTGGGAGCAGTTTTCAACTGCAAAGTGAAAGCATTGTTGAATATATTCCATAATTTGGTAGTGGCATTCCATCGAACAGGAAGTCAGCATAGTTTTTGGTCCCCCAACGGCATTACCCTTCGCTTTTCAAAGAGAAAAATATTCATTATAACGGTGATATCACGTCATCAGATATCACCAATCAATAATAGGTAAACAACTAAAGAAATGTACCTTACACGTACGAATAACTATTCTTCTATGTAAGTTAATAAATATTCAAGTGAGATTTACTATAATCATTTGGTGTTTCACTATAACTATTGGGTTGACGGGAGATCCCACAAAATATTGAAATTTATAGTTAATCTAATGATTATAATGAAACAGCATGATTAGATCAACAAATTAGTACTTTCCGTGAAAAAACACCTTCAACACATTTGGCAATCCTTAATGCACTCTGGCAATGGCATTTATGATTTATGCACCCCTAATGCAGGCACAATGAAGTGGTTTACTTGGAAAAAGTGGAGATTAGTTTAGGTTGAAGATCATTGAGGAAGTACTAAGTAAATTTTTTGACTAGGATATAAATTTTGGGCTATTGGGTTTTTATGTGTAATGAAAACTTTATACATAGAATGACAGAAAGTACATATATATCCCAATAATACATGGCAAATTCAAATTCAAGAAACAATTCGTCTTGATCGGGTAAAACTTTCTTCTTCTTTTTTGTTATAAGTTGTTCAAGCTTGTATCAAGTACACTCTCAAACTCAGTGGTTGACCACTGTGATTTGAATTAAGTTAGAATATGTTCCTCAAGAAATAAAGGTGGTTAGTATTTAAGGGATGTGAAAAGAGATTAAACCTACCACTTCTAGGTAAAACTTTATACTTCTCTCAAATTCTCTTGTTGACTATCTTGCATACTAAATACAACCTTATGGTATGTCCAATGGTGGGAGATTGGACATGAACAAACTGTGAATTAGATATTTCACCCTTGCTAGTATCTTTCGAATTTAACTCGTATTTGTAATTTATGGATGATCAGGTATTCAGATTTACTTACCCTCGTACGTAGGAATGGGTTGAAAGTGACCCTTTGAAAATTTTCCTTGTTTATTTTAAAAAAAGAGAAGGAAAGAAAATTAGCTGCTGGCGTTGGTTGAAACTGTATAGTTGGTTGATGACACTTTCTGGGCCTTTTATCGAAAGATCAAAACCAGTGTTAAAATCATTCTCGAACTCTAAAAGCTATTCCATTTCAAAGAATGGTACACAAATTCAATGCCAGAGGAGAGAGATAGAAGTGAGAGAATCTCAAACCATAAAATCTTCCACTTGCAGATTCTTTGAGTGGGTGGGGGGGGGGGGGGGGGACCCATATAGAAATGTTCATTTGGAATCTGAGAGGACAGAGCAATGTCATCAGAAAACGACTGAGATTGGGGGCATTTGAAATTGAAACCTCTTCTCTAGTTTCAGCTTGCTACTAATGTCTTTATCTCTCTCCCATTTCACAGCCAACAACAATGTGCGGACAGAGACTCTTACACGTACGTAAAGCTGCTTTTTCCTTCCATTACATGCTTTACCCATCAACATAGAATCTAGCCCCTTGCTTCAAAATACTTTAACTCGGTGCTTGACGTTGTGAGTTGAATAATTGAAGCGTTTTATTGTTTGGGAAAATCGGGATTTTTAGAGTGGTATTTTTTTTTTTTTTTGCATTCAAGCTGCTCGATAGATTGCCGTAAAGAAAAAGGAAACAGAAGCTGGAGTCTCACATGTAATTCATAATTAATACAGTCATGCTCTATAAATTAGTATAGGGTATTACTGCACAAGTACATGACAGGGTGAGACTATGGAATCGTGTTATAATTTTTTTTTGGATTGAATTATAATCTTTTGAAGTCAAATTACAATAAAATGATGTCAAGTTGTACTATAATTAGAATTAATCCTAAGTTTATCCCCGATGAAATAAGTCATAATCTCATTTTTATTTTTGTAACAACTAGAACTCTTTTAAGTATACATGGTAGTAGGGGATGTTCACATTGATTTGTGAGTAATTATTTAGTGAGTCAACCAATCAATGGTTAGAGGGTCTTCATTCTCCAGCATGGTCGGAAAGATCTTTCTATGGAGAAGACTTGTTTGGTATTTGGAGAAAAAAAAAGTTGATGAAAAGGTTGCAAAAGTGGAGAGAGAGAGAGAGAGGGTGGAAACAAAGAGACACATCAAATCAAACACCTTTTTGAAACTTACTCTCTCTCTCTTTGTGAAATGTGAATGGCTAGAGAGATGAAAACCTTTTGATGGGAAGGCCCACCATAAGATGACTTTATTATAATGCTTTCATATTCTGAAGTGAAGATGAATGATATGTCTGTGGTGGTGGGTGCGGAGGTTATTTTTCCCAGTCACATTCAACCTTTACACATTGAAGCGACTCTCTCTCTCTCTCTCTCCTCTGAAAACACACTGCGTGCTTCCAAAGCGCAGAGTCATCGACTCAAACTCATTTGGATCGCCCCAAACTCAATCAAATGAATTGTTTATAAGAATTTACTGATAGAAGTTTATAAGAATTTTAACGGTGAGATTATTCTATTATAATTTGAAAGTTATGGATTTAAATTGCAAAAAAAATTCTTATACTTACAGACGTAAAATTACGTACATTGAATCCACTCCAATTCTTACAAGGGCAAGAATTTCGTGCATTAGATACGTTCATTTATAAATTCAATTTTGTTGAGTTGGATTGAACTTGGAGAACGAAATTTATATACCGGAAGAATATTATATCTACAATGTTGTAAGATGGAATTTTCAATATAATAACTTCAAAATTTATATATAAACCAAGGGATGAAAATTCGATTTTAGAAACTTTGGCCATCTCTCCTTCCCCTCCCTCTGCCCCTTTGTCTCTTATTAGAAGATGTATTACTTTCTTGTGTATACCCAGGAAAGATGCTTATATGCCAGAATTACAATGCCTGATTGCTCATGTCTGGTTGAGTTACTGTGTCAACCCAAGCAATTTTGTTTTTTTAGTTTAATGATCAAAGATGTTTAGATCAATTTATGCATATTTCGATTAATTCTCCCTTTAGTCCTATTAAAGATAGGTCATTTACGTCAAAACTAAGAAATTCATGAAAGATAAACTTCTCGGACTTGATTTTAAAGAGTTGACAAAGATTTAAACTTAAAACAAATTTTTGGATAGCAATTCTGGGGAGCTATTCTGCATCCTATTGAGTATTGACAATTGTCATCCGTTCTCGAGTTAGCGAGTCAACCCACCCACATTCCGCTAACTGTTTCTCTTTACTTTCTCAAATACACAATTTTACAAGTAAGCAGACAGTGACCGTTGTTGCCCCACTCCCAGTAAGTGGACACGGCATCTCTCTCTTTCTGTCTGAGAGTCCTCACCTCTCTCTTTCTAAGAAAAGCATGATGACTGTAAACCGAGAGAGAGAGCGCAAAGATATCAACTTCATGCTGGCAGAACCTATACTATGCTCTCTTCCTGTTCCTTCGGATGCCCAGTACAGGACCCCACATAACAGAAACCACCACTAACGTCAGCAGTATCAGCACCACCAACAAGCAACAGCAACACAACACCACCCCTCATTCCTCTCCTTCATGAATAATTAAAAGCTCTATGATGGGTACATCACACACGCTTTGACATTGATACACCTATAAATATACGAATAAATTCATATTTATATCACTTACCCAGAATAATTTATATGAATTCGTTTTGTTGTACTTTATCCAACTATCTTTAAATTTTGTTGTTGGCGATGCCAACGCCGGTGAACTCAGCAAGGCAATGCCTAACGTCAGAATCAGCACAAGCCCTCGACGATGCCGTGGTGGTGGCGCGCCGCCGCGGGCACGCACAAACCACGTCGCTTCATATGGTGTCAGCTCTGCTTTCACTTCCATCTTCACCTTTGCGGGAGGCCTGTACTCGAGCTAGAAATAACGCTTATTCGACTCGAATTCAGTTCAAAGCTCTTGAGCTTTGTCTAAGCGTTTCTTTGGACCGGTCTCCTTCTTCTCCGACCCGGGTTGATGAACCTCCGATCTCAAATTCACTCATGGCAGCCATTAAAAGGTCTCAGGCGAACCAAAGAAGGCAGCCTGAGAACTTCAATTTGTATCAGCAGCAGCAACAGTTATCGTCGTCCTCCTCGTCGATGTCGGTGGTTAAAGTTGAGCTTCAGAATTTTATTATGTCTATTCTTGATGACCCAGTAGTGAGTAGGGTGTTTGGTGAGGCTGGTATTCGAAGTTGTGATATAAAGCTAGCTATTCTTAGACCTGTTCACCAGTTGTTTGGATATTCAAGATATAAGGGGCCACCCATGTTCCTATGTAATTTTGCTGGTGATTCTGAATTAGGTAGTCGGGGTTTTAGCTTCCCTTTCCTGGGCTTTCCTGGCTTTTTTGAGAGTGATGAAAGTTCTAGGAGAATTGGTGAGGTTCTTGTGAGGAATAAGGGGAGGAATCCACTGCTTGTTGGTGCTTGTGCTAATGATGCTCTGAGAAGTTTCCTAGAAATGGTGCAGAGGAGGAGAGGAGGAGGTGTTTTGCCTGTGGAATTATCTGGATTAGTTGTAATTTGTGTTGAAAATGAGATTTTGAAGTTCGTTAGTGAGGATTGCGATAAGGGGTTGGTGAAGTTGAGGACTGAGGAGGTGGGTAGAATGGTTGAACATTGTATAGGACCTGGTGTGGTAGTTAATTTTGGAGACTTGAAGACATTGGTTGGTGATGATGCCTCGGTTGATGCTGTGAGGTTTGTGGTACATGAATTGGTGAGGTTGCTGGAGATTCATAGTGGGAAAGTGTGGTTAATTGGAGCAACAGCGAGGTACGAGACATACTTGAAGTTTTTGAGTCGATTTCCATCCTTTGAGAAGGATTGGGACTTGCAGCTTCTGCCCATCACTTCTCTAAGACATTCCATGAGAGAATCATACCCCAGATCCAGGTAACTGATCATTTTTGGCTGTTTGATGTTATAGTCTTATGCACCACAGCGCCAAACCTTTTCAAATTTTCTAATTATTAAGAACAAGCACATTCATTTCATTTCGTGTTTGGAGGGGGAAGTAAGAGGGTATGTAGTTAGTTATTCAACCCATTTCTAAGACGAATCTTCACTATCTTATTCCCATGTTGCTGATAGCTTTCTATAATAGTTTATTATTCGGTGCTTTTATTTTCCCCTTTATTAAAGAGGATATTTGCTTCTGCATATGAATAAGTATTAAATATAATGTTCTCTGCTTTATACAATTGTGCTATAAATCTTGTATTAAATCGAATCTGGATTCGGGTCCTGTAAATTCCTGTGGTTTATCATTGAATCCTTACCTTTGTGCTGTTCATGAATTTTATCAATAAAAGCTTGTTTTTTGTGGTGGTTTATGGCAGTCCATGATTGCTATCTGAGCTGCACTAGTTTAGGCGAGAGACAATAACTCTCACAGATAATATTAACGTTGCCTTTGGATTATTTGAAGCTCTATTGTTGAGCATCAGAACTCAGGTTTTAGAATTGGGACGGACACTTCGTGTCAAAAAGCTGAAGGTTAGGTCTGTTTTGTGGCTCCATCATGGGCCGTTAGTCGAACGAGCTCGAGCCAAGTTTGAAAAATTTATTGCTTTATTAAACTTAAAAAATTGTTAAAGTTCGACTCGTTTAAAAAAGAACCGAATTTGAATAAGCCAAAAACAAGTCGAATTCGGGCCGAGCTTGAGTATTTACACATAAACGAACTTAAAAACTTGTTCAAGTTCGGAATCGTTTAGAAAGTAAACTGGAATTGAATGAGCCAAACCCGAACCGAATTTGAGACAAGTTCGAGTAAGTCAGTTTGATTAGCAGCGCTAACTCCATCCCAGGATTGTCAAAACTGACCAATACCAGGTATTGGCCGTTCACTTGAGATGGTTGAACTTCCACACATTATGTACTCTTTTATTTCACAGATTTAAAATTGAATTCTATAAAATACAAATTTTTATCGGACTCTTAACTATAATTCAAGGTGGTACGGTACTGGTTTTACTTAATCCTGAGGTGAAAGTGGATGTTTAAAGGATTCAACCCTTGTATTTCGGACAAGGAGGACAGATCTACAGCACTTGGCTAAAGGAGCTAATGGAGTATAACTCTAAATGTAAAGCCTGGTTCTGGATCAGTTTTAGATTTTGATTACTTGATTTTTGACTCGAAATACTTTCCGATATTAAAAATGATAGCTGACTCAAATTTCCTTTTTCAGATAAAAGCATTTTGATTCAACATTATTTCAGAATCAGAAACAATTATAATAAACCATGCATGCTACCACTGCTACTTGAATCCATAGTGTCTGTGTCTACAATACTACTAGGGCACAGTCTCTGTGTGTCTGTGGTTGTTTGGATAAAGAGAGATTCTGTTTCAATTCTTGTATATATTTCTGTCCCACCATAGCCACAATTACTTAAGAAGCATTATTCGATCCCTTGTCATTGCACATTTTCCTAACATCGTCTTCAATTCCCATATGCGGTGATAAATAAATAGAAAAATCTTCCGCATTAAACTAGAACTTGGGTAGGAGTTAACTATTATAATGTAGGACAACAATGTAAACTTTATTATCTTTTTTTATAAAATTGATTGGGATACAAGGTTCTTTTTGTGGTTGAGTTGCATGTCTCTGTGTTCTAGGTATGCCTCAAATTCAATCTTATGAAAATAATGAAGTTGCAGACATATGCTGCCAAAAGATGGAAACAAGAAATTATTTTTTGTTAAAATTGCACATCAAATTGACGTATTACAATTTGATAAAAAAATTGATGTATTACGATGTTTTAGCTTATCTGCTCTTATCTACTGGGAGAAAGTCCAGTCGCACTGCTGTGTACCTATCTGATTCAGTTCTCGTGCGCCTTGCTGTGGTGGATCTTTATATCATGCACCTTTGACATTAGAAACCTCATTGTCCCCTGCAAGTGAAAATTAATTATAAAGAGGAAAACATGTTGGCCCTTCCAGGTTTTGCTTGTAAACCATCTAAATAATGGAGGAAAAATGTTTGTCCTAGGCTTTGCTTCTAAATCATTTAAGAACTACTGTTGTTGATTCCTTCAGGTCTTCTATAATCCCTACACAAGCACATCACATCTTTGTATGCAATGCATGTGGAAGGTCAGCATGCATCACATAATCTCAGAAACATGATTAGATACCCTGCTTGTACTCTCAAAGCTGTCAAGTATATCCCCTGTATAAGTGATGGAGCCGACCAAACATGATTATCTTTATGTTATGTAATGACCATTTCCTAAATCTAAGTCTACTAAATCATTATGCTCCTTCCTCAATTAGTGTTTTACCCCATCACTAGTCTCATCAACAACCTGCGTCATTTCTAAACGAGTTACACAACTTTTTTTCCATTGAAATACAGGCAAATGTTCTCAATGAACAGTTACAACCATATATTAGTAAAAGAGAGGGAAGAGAACCAGGGAGGCAACCCATAAGTGAGTGAATATATAGCCCCATTCCCTAATACATATCTTCTCTGAGCTTCAGCCCACTTGCTTGGGATTGGTAGCAGTGTGTCTAAGATAGCAGCATTCTGTTATTTGCATAGCATAAATTGCACCTGGCTCACCTACAGCTTTACAGCAGCTCCTTACTTTTGTTCATGTCATTGTCCCACATGGTGGGGTTTTCAACTCTGTTTATGGTACCCCTTTAGTGCGTGCTCTGTATTAACCGGCAACATGCAGAAACTTAAATTTGTACAAGGAATATAATCCCGATTTAAATTTGTACAAGCAATTTCATTGGTTCAGATTTAATTATTTCCTCAGACTATGAATTTTTCAACATTCTCAATGGTTGACAATAAGATTATTGTCACTCTCTTTTATAAAACCCGCTCTTCATATATTTCATCAATCAAAGTAGTGGATTTTTGTAGAAGTTCATACTTTGATAACTATTATTTTTCCGTGTTCATTTTGACTTGTTTCTCTATTGTGTGTACTATGCTCATCTAGTTCATTTATCAAAGTATTTAATTTTATGGATATTCATCTTCAGTTCTTTTCTGATTATGTATCCGTTGGCATAGATACACCCTTCCGGTGTCCATTTTGACTTATTACCATCTTGAATCCATTGGATCTCACAGTTCCATGTTCATGATATACTTGCAGCTTGATGGAGTCCTTTGTTCCATTTGGCGGGCTCTTTTCTAACCCTTCTGATATAAAGAGCCCATTAAGCATCTCGTACCCTTGTGTATCTCGTCATCTGTGCAATGAGAAGTGTGAACAAGAAATAACTGCTCTTTCAAAGGGAGGATTCATTAGCTCAATTTCAGATCAGTGCCAGTCTAGCTTACCTTCTTGGCTGCAGACTGCTGAACTTAGCACAAGCAGGGGATCAGACATTTTGAAGGTGTGTGTTATTCTGAAATTTATTTATAAACTCTCATCAAGGTTCAAATTTCCAGTGACCCAAGATAAATATCTTTCTGATGGGTACAACTGGGGCCGAATTGTGATCAGGTCTACATTTCAACATTGTAGTATGTCTTTTTCCATTAGCGTTTCCTCTAACTGAGTTACACCATAGATTCGTTTCGCATATTTCCATTCATGCTGAACCAAAAGCTTTTAATACTGCCCTCCGCTAACACCTCAAAAAAAGATAAAATAAAGAGTTCAGCAAGCTTTGCTGTCCATCCATCAGCACCACTTTAAAAATTTCTGAGGAAGTTACAGCTTGTTAGCAGGGTAGATCTGTTGCAGTGGCAAGTGAAACCTTTTGTATGACATTATTCTCTTGGTATAGTGTTTGTGATCACAAATTCAAGCCACTGAAGTGAATTACAAAAATACTTTGCATCATTTGAAAACCAGTTTCCATTTCTTCAGTGCAGGCCAAAGATGATAGCATGATATTGAGTGCTAAAGTTGCAGGACTTCAGAGCAAAGGGGACAATTCTTGCCAGCGTCGTCATTTTATTTGCCCTAAAACAGATACTTACCACGTAAACTCTCAAGTTCCAGCTGTTGTGGGCTTTCAAGTTGTAGAAAACAGGAAGGAAAATGTTGATAGTCACAGCAACAACAATTTAAGTGCATCTTCAACCGGAAGTGGATCCAAAAATAAAAATCTGTCCATGTCAATAGATATGCAACAAAGTTCTACATCAAAATCAGGCATTTCGTTGGGAATGGTTTCGATGTCTACAAATGTGAACCTATCCAAAGTGTGTGAAAAACCTTCACAGACTGAAGATGGGGTCGGTGGCCTCAAGTCTCCTCCTTGGAGTTTGTCCAGTTCAAGTGTTGGCAATTGTCGGTCATCTCCAGCCTCTGCAGTGTCTGTGACAACAGATTTGGGTTTGGGAATGTACTCTGCTTCTACAAGAAAAGAGCTGGAGAAACCTAAGGACCAAATTCCTAGAGATCTTTTGCGGGGTTTCTCCAGTTGCTTCTCTGCAAATTTTGATGCAGTTCGTGCAAGTATGTCAAACCCTCCTGCTCAGTCTTCATCTTGCTCTTGTCCCGATCTTCATGGGCAGATTGATCTGAAGGATTTCAAAATGCTTAGTACGGCTCTCTCTAGTAGGTATGGGCAGCAAGAAGAAGCTGTAAGTGTTATTAGCCAAACAATAAGTCACTGCAGAACTGAAAATGTGAAGCATCATGGGGCAGGTCGAGGAGATATATGGTTCAATTTTGTTGGTCCTGATAGGTTTGGTAAGAGGAGAATTGCTGTTGCCCTTGCTGAAATCGTGTATGGAAACAGGGAAAATTTTATCTGCGTCGATCTAAGTTTCCAAGATGGAATGATCCTTACAAACAGTGTATTTGGACACCAAGAAATGACTGATTATGATGTAAAGTTCAGAGGGAAGACTGTTGTTGATTATATTGCTGAGAAATTGAGCAAAAAACCCTTATCTGTTGTATTCCTCGAAAATATAGATAAGGCTGATCCAGTAGTTCATAATAGCCTGTCCCAGGCTGTGAGGACTGGTAGATTTTCCGACTCACATGGACGAGAGGTCAGCATTGGTAATGCAATATTTGTGACTACTTCAGGATTCAATGAGTTTGGCAAGACCCTCTCTTATATGAAAGAAACCACTGACTACTCTGAGGAACAGATATCTAGAGCACAGGCCTGGCCGATCCAGATGCTAATAGGATTTGATCTTGGAGACGACATAAGGCCCACCTCTAGGGTGTTGAATATCACAAGAGACGGATCAAACCTGATCTTCATGAATAAAAGAAAGCTTATTGGTACCAATAACACCGTAGAACAATGTGAATCCTTGGAGATGGCAAAACGCGCCCACAAGACATCAAATGTGTGCCTGGATTTAAACCTCCCAGCCGAAGATAGTGAAATATGTGATGCTGATATTTGGAACCCTGACAGTGACACTATCTCTGAAAACTCCAAGGCATGGTTAGAAGATTTCTCTGGACAGGTCGATGCAACAGTGGTTTTTAAGCCATTTGATTTTGATGCACTTGCTGCAAATATATTGAAAGAGATTAGTGAGTGTTTCCATCAGATTGTTGGCTTGGAATGTTTGCTTGAGATTGATTCAAAAGTTATGAAGCAAATTCTTGCAGCTGCATGTTTGTTAAACAATAATAGCGTCAAGCATTGGGTCCAGAAGGTTCTCAGCAAGGGTTTTGTAGAAGCTAAGGAAAGGTACGACCTCACCCCTCGTTCAGTTGTAAAACTTATTACTTGTGAGGGCCTTTTTTCAGAAGAGCAAGTACCCGGAGTTTTGCTCCCTCCTAGGATTATCATGAACTGATGTCCTCCATAGATTTACCTTGTAATTAGGTGTATAATGTAGCTCTTTAGCTTCTAGGAATAATCCTTGTTTAGCTTCTTAATCCCATGTTTTATAAGGGTTTTGAATGTAATGCTTGTGCAACATAACTAGACTATAACTAAGAGCAGGTATGATATTCTAGGCCTCCATCAGTGGCTTCCTTTGTTTTGGTTGGACCTTGTTCCATAGTACAATATATTAACTTGTATTACTGTGTTCAATTGATCAGTATTTGTATATTTCTTCCTTTTCATGCAGTCCCTGGGTGTTCCTACTTGGTCCTTTAGCATGTTGGACATGAGTCCTGTAATTCATGTAAAAATTATGTAGTTAAAGCTGCATTTATATCTGCCATTTGCCCCTTTACTATACAGGTGAAATGCACCTGAGAGGATTCCCTTTTCAAAAAAAAAAAAATACAAAATACCATATGATATTTAAAAGTAATATTTTTTACACTTAAAAATTTGACATAATAATATGAAAGGTTTTGTTGGTAGATAAGATTAGAATGAATGAAAAGAGTACTAAGACTTTCATTTACAATAATTTTATACAATTATGTCATTTGTCACATCGTTATATCAGTAAATATGGGTGTCCATGGCTCAACTAGCGAAATTTTTTTTGGGCTAAGTCGGGGCAGACTTCAGACAAGGGTAAGCTACTCGCAAGTCAACCCGTCACTCACTAGACAGGCCTACTAGACGGATTTTTTATATACAATTTTATTTAAAAATAATAAATATTTTTGTAACTTAATATTTTTGTAAACTATGTTTTTCAATTACAAGTAGAGTCAAAATAGACAAAAAAATAAATAATTAATAATTTTATTTATAAATAAAGAAGGAATTGTATCACAATAGAATGGTCACATCCCAATTATATTGGCACTTATCTATCTTTTTCAAATTTCAAATTTAATATGTCTAACTTTTTTTCAAAGGAAGATAAAAGGTCTGTTGGTGCTAGATTAGGTAAGCGGCTTATTGAATCAGATTTTAACAGATTTTTTAGGGGAGAGTTATTGAGTTGAATTTTAATGGGCTTTTTAGGGGTGGATTATTGAATTGGATTTTGGGCTGAATAATGGGTTGGGGGTATGTCCAGGTCCTCTCTTGAATGGTATTGGGCTCGGGTCTGAAAGGACCAACTATCAAGTCTATTTTTTTTGAATCGAATAATGGAATTGTAGACAATTCGGCCCATAAATACCCTATTCTTAAACTAGGTGTCAATAAGATTTAGATGAAGCATATCTAAGTGTCGGGTGTGAGCTCAAATTTTCATCAAAATACAAGTATTAATTTAATTGATATATGAATTGAGAGATCAAATTATGTGTCCAAAATTTGCTTTCAATTTTATTTGAAGTCACAAATTAGAACGACATAAACACATTTATAATCCGAGGGACGCAGAGAAAGGAGTAATGTGACATTTTCTATCTTTAGTGAACTAAAGTATAATCATTTGAAATTGTTTTTTTCTTTTTTTGGACCCCAAGAGAAGGGGGGGGGGGAGTGTCATTTCATATTTATTAAGAACCCCATATATATTTTATCCTAATTTTTGTTGTGAAATAAAAGAAGCAAGAACACATCAAACGGTCCGAGTTTTCTGATGGGAAAAGCGCCAAAAAACACCAACGAACGAACGACCCTAAGCTCCTTCTTCTCTTCTCTGACAGATAACTGACCAACAAACATCAAATCTCTCTCTCTCTCTCCCGATTCCGTACCCCTGAATCCCGAGATCAATGTCTCCCACTCTCCTATCTTTGATCTGTCTCTAATTCCTCTCTCTCTTATCTTTAATCTGCTATTCCATAGATCTTGCTATTCTATGGAGATGGCTTCCATCTCTTCGAGCCCTCGCACCGTCGAAGAGATCTTCAAGGACCTCAGCGCTCGTCGCTCTGGCGTCCTTCGTGCTCTCACTTACGGTACTACGCTACACATGCGGACATATAAACCCTAATTTCGATATACGTAAATGTTATTTTTCTGGCTCTCTGCTTTACTAATTTGCTTCTCTCTCCTCTCAGATGTCGATGATTTTTACACACTCTGCGATCCAGGTCGAGCACCGCATTCCTCTCTCTCTCTCTCTCTCTCTGTACACAACTATGTAAAGACCAATTGATTGTGTTATGAGTTTTAAATTAAATATATATATTTTTTACTGTATAGAGAAGGACAATCTATGTTTGTACGGACATCCTAATGAGACATGGGAAGTGACATTGCCGGCGGAGGAAGTTCCGCCAGAGCTGCCGGAGCCTGCATTGGGGATCAATTTCGCGAGAGATGGGATGAATCGGAGAGACTGGCTATCGTTGGTGGCTGTGCATACTGATTCTTGGTTGCTCTCCGTTGCTTTCTATTTTGGAGCTCGGCTTAATCGTAACGAGAGGTACATTATTCCTGCCTCTATCTTTCTCTCTCTTCATATTACACTCGATATATTACTGAATTTTGGATGCAGCTCTGCATGTGTGTTTGTTTGTTAAAATACAAGTTGCTTAGTGTTAACGGGTGGTTTTCCATTCCAAGTGCCTTAAAGGAAAGTTAATTTTATGTTTGTTGTCGAGGTCTTTCTAGGTGAATTAATAGTGACAAATGAAACCCAGGTTTTTATTTGCAGAATCTTTTACTGTGGATTACTGATGTAAAGAAAGCCAGATATAAGTAACGTATAATTTGTGTAGCTTTCTGTTCTTTTAACCTTTTGTGAAGAATATCTTATCTACTGAAATTAAACATTATGGCTGTTATTTAAATGAATGATATGCTATTCTGTGAATACATTTGATTTAGTTGACAAATACAAATTTGTTAAGATGTAAGAGGTGATGTTATGGCGTTGAGAGTGGAGAAATGTTCAATTATCTGCCAGTAATGCCTGTTAAAGGTACTGGATTTGGTAAGAACATACCCCTTTACATTCACTTCATATGCTAGATTTTCAAAAATAATGGATCGTGTATCATAAAATACAATCCATGTAAATTTATATACACTACCAGTTATAGGCATGATCTCAGTGGTACTAAAATGTCTTTTGCTCCTCCTTTTTGGGGAGTTATTTCCACAAGGCCTTTGACGGATGGATGGCCTTTGACGGATGGATCCCAGAGGTGCTGATCAATGAGGGAATCTCATGCCATTTTAAGTGAGTTGGGTCTAGTTCAAAGTATAGATCCTAGTTCGGGTTGATTTACGACTTTATTCATATTCCGATAACATGCGGTTAACCATAAGTAAGTGAACCAAATCGATTAGGAACAGTCTGACGTAAATATATAATCTCTGAAGTAATATATATATATATATATAAAACCATCTTTGTCCCAGAGGCTGAGCTTCCTGTGTGGGTCATTTGTTATGTGCCTTTTTTTCTGTCATTCCTCAACATTCTTCCAGAGCCCAAATCCTTCCCTTCATTCTTCCCTATTTGAGAATACCATGTCTGTTATAAAATAGGTGCTTATCTTCAGTACCGCTTTCCTTAACCATCTATAAGGTTGGGACTTTTCTTGTGTTTAGGCTAGAGGTTGCTGTTTTAGGTGGGCTGTAGGCAGAGCAAATGGAGGGTGGCTTTGTTGGGTGTAGTTAGAGGTATCATAGAGCGGACTATACATACGTTGTATCAGACAAGCAGCTGTATGGAGGAGACAAGAGGGCACGTTCCGCTCTGGTTTTCCTTCAGGAGAGTGTAAATTCAACCCTTTTAATGGCCCTTTTTTTTTCTTGATTATTATTGAGAATGTTTGCATCTTGAATCTTGAATCGATCATCCACCCACGCATAGGGATTCCTAGGATTACTGCTCCCTTGACTGACTCACATTCTGGTCATCAAGGAGTAACTCAAAGAAAAAATAAAAGAGAGCATATTTCCCTTCAGTCTTATCCCCGAAATCTAGGATCTAGTATAGGACCATTTAAGAAGTATGCACTCATTGAATATGAGTCTACCATACCTTTTTTTAGAAAAAAAAGCTGGCTTTCACCGATTCAATTCCTTCCTATTTATTGCTTCTAAATAGTTATCCCTTTATATATATATATATATATATATATATATATATATATATATATATATATATATATCATTTAAACTGACTTAACATTTCGTGTCCCCAATAATGATCAAAAAGAGAAACAATCATTTGTTTAGGTAAAATTTTGTCTGCTTGAATAAGAAGAAGAATAAGATGCCAAAGCAATAAAAAGAGAGTTTTGGAAGAAGATGATTGAGAGCTTCGTTTGTTTGAGGTCAAACCAAATATGAAAAACGATAAATCTAGGAAATGTCGTCGTTTCATTGTCTAGGTGGAAAAAGCCTTGTGAAATGAGGTCGATTTGATATTGCGCATATCATTTTTGATTGTATCTAAACGTAATGTAAGATACGTATCGCATATCGTGAGATTCGGTGAAAAATGACAAGACTCACAGATACGTATCATTCGGGTATTGTATAGTAAAATACTAATAACTATCAACTATGCCCTCAAGTATTTTGGAGGGGACATGCTAATTAATCTGTATTAATGCTCTTTAAATGTGAAATTTTATGGTGAGGTTAGTAGCAACTGTGTATTTGTGCTTGCTTGGTGTTGTATGATGTTTGACGGTGTTTAGTGGTGCAGGAGCCCAAGTCCTCCTCAGTCAAATGACTTGGTGCTGTCAAAGTTAATAGAGGGGTATTTGGATCTTGATAAGTCCTGGTGGACTTTGTTGTGTTGTGACCGGGTTATAAGTCTAAGTGGCTTATGTTGTAAAGAATGCGGGCTGAATGTTGTGTTGCGCATGCAATCATTAGTTGGTTTTAGGAACAGTTTCGTTGCACATTAGTTAGCATGCCAGCAAACAATCTGTCTGCTGAATTAGCTATGTAAACGCAATTTGTCTTCAATATGAGAGTTCAGTAATGGGTTTCATTTAGGATATGTTGAGAAGTTTCCAATTGGCACAATTTTGTGGACAACTGTCAGTAGTGGGCTGGCTGAGGTTTAGTGTCACTGGCGGAAAAATGGTGTGGTTGAGCTTTGTAAGTAATGGGTTATTTCTTGAACCGAATCAACACATATTAGATCCACATTAATTGTTATTGTCACTGAGGGCTATCCATTTATTCTTCATGATTTCATGTGGATGCTAAGTAGCAAATCAGAGAATGTAGATTCCTTAAACAATCCAAGGTCTCGGCTGTATTCTAACTTCAAGATGGGCATATTTATTTCTCTGCCGACCTCTCACATCATTCAAAAGTTTCTGACCTTATAAGTGCTACAATTAATAATGCGATGCACGCCTGCACTGCTTATGTTGAGAATGATGAACATATTCTCTCTTTCTAGGCTTCTTGCAACTGGGGAACTTCTTTTTTACGATATCAGCACAATTGTAAATTTTATCTGTTATGAACTTATGATATTGTTAAATGCGACTAGTCCATCTTCAATTGACAGAAAAGTTATTTATGTCTATAGTCAAATGCGTAATCATCAATCACAAATCCTATAAGCTTATTTATCAGACAATTGGGAGAATATCTTGAAAACATAGCTGCAAGTATTGGGAACATAATGATGTTTTTTATTAGAAAGACTTTTAGTCAAACTATTTACACTACTGGGTATTTGAGTGATTTTGCTGATGTATTTAGTCCCCTGTTGAATCCTATGTTTTTAGCTCTTAACAATTTTAAGACATGAATGCCATCACACATGTGCGTGTGCCCTGAAGACAAAGATGAATTTACATATTCTATGAAAAATGATGGAGAAAATCCTACTTTCTCTGAAAAAAGATGTGGGACCTACTGTTATATTCCCCATGTCTCCTTAGTCATCCCTAATATTAGATCATCTAATCTTTTTAAGGATGAACAAACAAATCACACCATACAATTGGGGCCAGTTGATGGAGTTCGCGACTGTGGGATGCACATTCCCATTCTGAATGAATCATTTGGTGTAGGTCTCCCTACAACTGTTTTGTATTTGAAATTATGTTTTCTCTCTTTTGGAATCAGATTTGGACGTGTTCATGAAAGAGCATATTGGCAGACTTGGGAGCCCAGTGATCCAAGGCTGAATATAAATATCTAGAACTAATACCCACCAAAAAGCTTAGGCCTATAGGTGGTGAACTAGCAACAACATATTAGGACGCCTTTAACTTATTTTTCTGTTTGATGTGGGATTGTCACACATGTAATAACCAGCAATCTCCCTCTTATGTGTGAACCACATCGGGCTTAGCTCCCCCTTGAATCTGATCATAACTCTCCACAAGCATCACATCCAACTACACTTTTGCAAGAGTCCTCTCTTCCAAGAATCAAGCTCTTTATAAGTCATTGCATTACCACTCTGTTAAGAGCCCTTGCATCTTGACCCACTCCCTGCTCTTCTCACAGTTGCGCTTTCATGACTTTAACACCAAGAGCCCATCACCTTTCCTAAGAATAGTCACTGGTACCAGCATGCTACATGCTACACCGCTTCTTCGAGAATTCACTCAAGATTGTCAGCCATCGGCTCTAATATCATTTTGTTGAAAGAATAGGGAGCCCAATATTCAATCTCAAGGCTGGACTCATTCCCACCTATAGGCTTTAAATCTATAAGTGGTGAGTCCATTAATAGTATATTATGACACTTTATTGTGTGTGGGTGCGCTCGCACATCAGCATACCCATGTGACAAGGTACCTCCTCTCCCCCTAGAAAGTAAGGATTCCCAGCAGCCACTGATGTGGTCTGGTTTGTATTGTATGACATTCCTTTCATTAATTGAATCATGATGCTCATCTTTTCATGAAATGTTGCACAAACCCTTATTTGCCATTTTTTGTGCATTTTACTGAACAGGAAGCGATTGTTCAGCCTGATAAATGATCTGCCCACCATGTTTGAGGTCGTAACAGAGAGGAAGCCCATGAAGGACAAGCCCAGTGTGGATAGTGGGAGCAAATCTAGGATCACCACAAAGGTCAATTCTTGAAACACATGCATACTTGATTTTTTCACTTTTCCTTTGGTTTTAGATTTGTGATCCGAATTTGCCTTTGCAGAGGTCAAGTGATGGACAGGTAAAAAGCAACCAAAAGCTATATGATGAGAGCTATGGAGAGGAGGATGACGAACACAGTGAAACTCTTTGTGGGAGCTGTGGAGGAAATTACAGTGGTGATGAGTTCTGGATTGGCTGTGACATCTGTGAGAGGTGGTTCCATGGAAAGTGTGTAAAAATAACACCAGCAAAGGCAGAAAATATCAAGCAGTACAAATGCCCTTCATGCAGCACAAAAAGAGGCAAGCAGTAGTGACTAAATTAAAGCTTTTGGAAGGCTCAACCTCTTGTTTCAGTGACTGACACTTCGATAAAGGTTGTACAGTATTATTTAAACTAACAGGATTTCATTTCTTTCCTCCTCCCGTCTTTTTCTCCTTTCAGTTGTTATTCTCTATTTTGGCCCGTTGTGCATCATAATATTTCTCATAGCAGATTTACCATTGGGTGGTTGAAGTTCGGGCTTCTCATCCTTCCAATGCATGCTTTTGTATAGGGCAGGTATTGGTTCGTAATCAATATTTATTTCATATTGTGTTCCTTCTTGTTCATTTTTATGGCCATGCATTGTCCTTTTTTCAAAATTATGCATATTATTTACCTTTATCATTTACTTATCCTAGCTTCACAGGTATGTTTCATTCGTAGTGCCTTCGAATGTTACCAACAGATTTAACCCTCCGGTGGAATTGTTTGTCATTTTTCAATGTATTCAGTAGACAGGATGCCGAGCGTTAAACCATTTGGAGTAGATGGTTGATACATGCGTGTGCTCCCGTGCACGTGCATGTGAGTGTGGGGAGTGGTATACATTAAGTTTGTTGCTTTTATTGGTTTGTTCATGAGTCGTACCAAATGTCTTATGATTTTACTACCGGTAAGTATTTGACTGCCCCTCCCGAGCTTGCAAAAGGCTCCCTGATGTTTCGAAAGTATGCTATAGTCACTGGTGAGCACGTATTTGTGATTCATGGTATTGTCTGTTTTTTGTAACAGCAGTCCCTTTGACAGCCACCTCCATAATTTTAGGACAAAAAATTGTCGGCCCTCTTAGATTACCAGTGCACATTGTGTGTGTGTGTGTGTGTGTGTGTGTGTATTACAGGTAAATTACATATATGAGGCTTCGAAGGAGGACAATGAGAATAGGGATCGGCTCAGTTTAACTGAAACAAATCGGGTTATATGGTTGCTTATATAGATTTTTGGAAAATAGTAATTATAAAATTGATTGTTTTAGGATTGCTTAATAAGTTTTAGGGTCTAATTTTGAAAATATTTGTTGAGAAAATTGTCTTAAAGCTCAAGTTTTGCCTCGAAACTTCTATTGAACCGAGCTTGAATAAGAATTTAAGCACAACAGTTGAGTTCAGCTTGAGACCACTAAACATTTATCTGAACGAGCTTGAGTAAGAACTAAACATCTGTCGAAACGAGCTTGATTATGAACTAAACTTCTATCGAACTGAACTTGAGTAAGAACTTAACCGCGACAATTGAATTAAGAACTGTTACTGTTTTAAACTACTTGAATTTTGATTATCTGCTTTACTCCGTTAAACATGGAGCTAGGTCTGCTCCGTGCAAATAAAAGAGTAAATACTTGTCGTGAATTCTGCAAAAGCTTATGTTTTAGTGGGGGCAAAATATAAATAAATAAAATATTAATCAACTAGTATAAAAAATTCTCCCCTATCTCCAATAATAAGGATTAAACTGTCTATAAATTTTGTAGAATTTTTTTTTAAAGTTCAGCTATGAGAAACATATTAAGATCCAAAACATAATTACTATACAAAAATTAAAACCCAAATCAATTCAACATTTTATAGAATATGAACATACAAGAACAATAATTTTTTTAGTGGTAAATTTCAACTCAATCATATATTAAAGAGGAACACAACGATATTATTTTAAATCTCAAGAATCATTTATAACTAATCAATTTTATGATAAATTTCTAAGCAATTTCTTTTTAACGTAGTTGAAAAATTGATATTTTTAGAAGAGCTACGTTGTTTCAAATCTCAAAATGTTAATAATTGATCAATTCTATGATAAATTTGTAAGTATTTTTTTTTAAATCTTGTTGAAAAATTGATATTTTTGGAATGGCATAAATACTTTTGGTTTAGGGGCATAAATACTTTTGGTTTAGTATAACTTATTATTTGCATCTATTCGTATATTATTGTATAATAATTTTAAAAAAATTGGAGAAAATGTATTAATAAGATAGGTACTATATTTAGCCAATATTTATGATAAGTTAATGAATCACACATCTGTTTTACTTAGTTTAATAACAAAAACACTTGTTTTAGTAGATTAGGGGAATAAATGAACCACTAACTTATTGAAGACAAAAAAAACACTAAGGCCGCTATTCAAATTTTCAAAAAATTTAAGGAGACAATGAGATAAATTGAACGTAACTTTATTTCCGTAACAAATTACACAGTTAACCCCTCAAAAGTAGTCACAAATTCATGTTGCTCCGCCCTTGAGCACGACCAATTACAATTCAACTAAGTTCTAAACATACTTTTTATGAACAAACGTGACATTTAGACTATAACCTCTATGAAATACATAGATATGTTGCTTGAACAAACTCGAATCGAATCGAATCTAATCTAATCTAATCTTTCATGCCCACAACAATAAAAATAAATACCTGTGCCGCCCACGAAGAATAAATATGGCTCATATATAAAAAAAGATATTAGTTGTGTCTCGCTGTGCTTGCCTACCTAGTCAATGTATATCTATCTATCTATCTATTTATCGCATAAATAAAACGTGGGAATGGCTCACACGTGGCCTTGGATGTTCTGTAGGGTGCGGGCTGGCATGCTCTTGTCTCCCCTCAAACGTAGGGCCATGGGTCCCGTTGCTCTTATCATTTCTATCGAATAAAGCTTTTTCTATTCCACCACTTGTCTAGCTTCTCCTCCTTCTAGATTTTTTTAAGTTTTCTTGAAGAAAAAATATCAATCCATCATCCACACCCTAATCTATTACTGATATTTATGGTCCAACATTAGTCAATGGGCCTTATTGTCCAAAGATTATTTTTTCCTATTTTTTTTCTTCTTATGAGAGAGAGAATTTAAAGTTTTCTAAAAAAGAGATGGAATAAAGAAGAGCGCCTACAGAACACCCCGATAAATTTTTATCGGTGGGATCATGAGGTTCCTAACTGCGTCCATTACTCATTTTGAGAATGAACTTAGTTAGACTAGCATAACAGTTAATCACTGAATACCAATATGAATTCTAAGATTTGAACTTTCAATTTTAGAGTGATAAATTTTGTTAATACTTTATTGGACCACTCCACTCGATGGTGAAAGAGGGAATTTTATTTCACAGAGGTGATAATTATTGTACAAGAAAAAATCGTGTACTTTGATAATGATGAAAATGATGTTGATTCATGAATGGTTGTTCGATTGAATATGGTGCACCTTCCTCCTTGCAAAATGACAAGCTGTCACAAGCCAGGGTATGAATAGATGGAGACACTCGGTAACTCCGTTGCTTAAGTTAGTAAGAATTATGAAGTTAAGCATGCAATTAGCACAAAAAAGAGTGCTTAATTTTGAGTTAAGCTCATCTAGTATTTATAGGAGTGCGTATCACTGAAATAGAGTGGCACATATATTTTTAATCCAGATCTCCCCTAATTCGTGATTGCACATTTTTAAATTTCTTTTATCTTTTGTTGACTTTTATATCACATATTTACAATATACACCTTTAAAATAGGGAGTTTCTTTTATTGGTTGCTTATGACCACCTTCGGTCATTCGCAATAGCCTCGCTATCCGTAGTTTAGGTGGATCTAATCCTTATCCCTTGAATTCTAGATAGGGGAGCAATTCGGGCGGTTTGAGAGGTCAATCTCAACCTTGACTCAACTGTAGGTATATAATTTTCAATTCTATTCCTAACTCTTACCCTACCTTAACCTGAGTTACTCAACTCAAGTACTGCCCGAGTTTAATTTGGGCTGATTTAGAATTAAAAATCAGGTTGGGCATGAGTTACTTAATTCAGGTTATTTTTTGAAATGTAAATTTGATTTTTTAAAGTGTAGATATGATTTTTTCAAGTAATTTGAGATAAAAGATGAGGCGCAAATGAGAAGTGACGAGTGAGAGATGGAGGCTGAGAGTCTGAGACCAGATGAAAGATGAGTGAGAGAAGGATTTGAGAGTGATAGAGGCGCGGGGGTGAAGATTTGAAGTGAAGTAAAAGTTTGGACTCTAAATAGTTAAAATTAATACTAATTCTAATTAAATATATTTATATATTTATGTATATTCTGATTTAACCCGATTTTAATGTTCAAGTTGAACCCGACAATCAAAAACTTCAACCCAAGGTTTGCCCGAACTCAATCCGGGTTAAAATTTTTTTACCCAGACCCAACCCAAATATTAAAAATTCTAACTCAAACCCTACTTTTTCGAGTTAGGCTCGATTAAATTCAAGTTGACCTGTCCAAATTGCATCCCTTAATTTTAGAATTAGAGATCCATTTGGATACCGATGCATTCTTGTGTTTGTTGGGTTCCTACCGATTGCTCGAGGAGTACTATACAAACCGAACCATTAGTAGGGGAGATTCCAATTCTGGTCAGTTAGGGCCAGAATCTGGTCGGCTAATCCATCCTTGGATTAGTGAAAAATATGCCTTTGTCATATTGTCTGTTTTTTTTTTATTCAAACTTTTGTCACGTATTTTTTATTACATGTCTTTATTAAATAGTCTAATTATGTACAAAAATATTCTGAACCCCTACAGTTATTAACATACACTATCAATTCGATATAAAATTTCTGGATTTGAATAGACCGATAAGAAACTTAGTGTTTTAAAAAAGGTGACACAAACTTGATTGGTTACACACCATACAAATTTACTTATTCACAAATATAAATATGTTGGGTATGAATCGGACAAATTTTGTACAATCCAACTTAGACATAATATAAGACATATATAACATGACCTACTATAGTTTATTCGGCAATAAATCTACATGAACATATTTCCTATGTAGTACACGAAAGTATACAATACATAGGGAAGAAGAAGGACAAGCAACCACATAAACTCCCTAAAGGGCTATAGAGAATCTGAAAGAGGAAAACAGAGCAACCAATCAATCTAATACTCCATAGGAAGAAGAAATCAAAGTGTGAAGAACCAACTATTTTTGCCTAGTCCTTTTCTTTTCTTTGATGCATTTAAGTTTTTCATTCAGATGTGGATCTTGGCACAACCATAAAGTTGTTTCATTGTGATTTAGTTGTCAAACATTTGAGTTGCGAAAATAGTTTCTTATTATGCGGAAATAAGACTACATATATCTGACTCTTTTAGATCAGACAGTAATGGGAGTCTTGTATACTAGGTCGCCTTTTTATGAAAGTGTTTCATTTTTTCTATGTATCATTGGAAAATTTTGAGATTATTTTTATTTTTGGCCAAGGAAGAGTAAGACATTCCCTACTTGGAAGAATCTACTTCTACATATGTTATGCTTCCATAAGGCTTAGGAGTTTTTTTAATTACTTTTTGATAATGAATTTTAACTTCTTCTTCTTTTTCCATTTGGTAATACTTTTTTAAGTGATTTTGTTTTGTATTTTTTAACTTTTTTTGTTTTACTTTTTCAGGTTTACTCCTATCCTAAGCTAAATTGTGTGTAAAGTTGTAGGCATATGCATCCATGTACTTTGCATGGTAATTTGCAAATTAAGCATGGAAAAATAGTTACATTAAATGTATCATATTTTGTTTCTCCGTTTTGGCCTACAAGTCTTCCCAATTCAAATAATATTTTTTAGACCGAATTATCTTATTATGTTTTAAGAAGTGAGACTATGAAATATAATATGATAACTACAAGTCGGCTGTCACGTCAATAAATTCAAAAAACGGATACAACTTATATATTTTTCAGACCCAATTATCTCGTTTTGTTTTAAGAAGTATGACCACGAAATATAATATGTTTTAGTACAAATCGACTGCACGTCGATAAATTCAAAACGCGAATACGTTTTATATATTTGTGTAGAATTTTCATACTGAAAAGCAACTTTGAACTTTGAAATCCTTAGTTGGAGGCTATTGTGGATATGTTTTGGATCACTAATTGCCACTCTCATCCGGTCCATTAAAAGTGATGGAGAATTGATACTAAGTATATATGGGACCTAATGTTGGGAACAGAGAAAAACACAAAGTGGAAGTTGGTTCTCATGATCCTTGATCCTTAGCTTTTACAAAAGTAACTTAGATTTGATCAAATGATTAAAAAAGGGTCAATTGATTTTCTCATCATCACATTGAATTCATTGTAACATCCTATTGTTTTTTAATACAGTGCTCTTGTAGTCATGAACACCATCACTAAAAATACATGCTACTTTGCGAGTCATTTATTACATTTTTTTAATGCCTAAGAAGTATTAAAGCTTTTTAGAACACTAAGATTGGTCTTTTCTCGAGGAAGAAGGGCCACCCTGAGTTGCAAACTTGCAAGAAGGTGGCCCTTCTTCCTCTTCCTCCAAACTTGGGGTTAAGTCACATTCCACTAGAAAAAAAGAAAGAAAGAAAAAAGATTCCTTCTCAAATTGTGATTGTAGTCTCAATAGTTCTTTTAAAAATAATTGTTGCTAGTTTTAGAATTAACAATTCTTGTTAAGATCTATTAACCAGATACAAATTCATACGGACTTATTAGTACGAGTTTTATAAGCTTAACTATTATACATGACATGAATCTAAATATACACGACTAAAAATATTCTCATATTTTGTCGAAATTCGACATAATACAAAGATACCGAAGAGGGTTTTTGGGATGCATTGAATGAGTCAGTAGACCATTACAATTACATGGAAGTGACATGTGATATCAATCTTATCTGGATTATGACCAATCAACAAACTAACATACATCATCAACCGCTCATTTCACACTTAGGGACCACTAAAACATTTCCTCACATATTTTCAATTTGATGTCAAAACAACCATTCAAAGGTTTCAACATTCAAACCAACTGATATAAACATACTGATGAAAACATTATATATATGTGTGTGCGCCTGCGCGCGCACGCAAGTTGGATGTGACTTTTTTTTTTCCTAATTTATTGCAATATTATTAGCTCTTTGAATTAAATATCAATAAACACCAACAGTAACCAACGTGTGTGTTTTTTATTTGAATAAAACATTATTTCTGGAAGAACACCTGTCGTTAGGACTTTTGTCTTTAAAACATGATTGAGACTACCATAAGAGAAGACATAATTAGCATATGTAAGAAGGTTGTCTTTAGCAATGATTTTGAATATGGGGTTTTTATCACCAATAATTCTAAAAGTAAAGTTTTTTTTTACGGACCATAGCGTAAGGAATATGTACAAAGGGCCAAGAATAATTAGTTTACCTGTCATGGGTGTTAGACAAGTTTACGCGCACTTTGATTAATCTCCTTCGCGATCTGATCAAAAATAAATCATTTACATCGAAACTAGAGTATTACAATTAATTACATTTTACCATGGCATCTTTAGAAAAGAAAAATTAAGAGATTCAAAACCTGTTACTAACAATTAAAATAAAAATCATTCTTCATACACCAAATAACATAATATAAATTGATCGGTCCTTAGGTTGCTTGATAGTAATGAATAGGCACGTGGACAATTACAGCTGTCAGAGAGTATAAAGCGTGCTTGGTAAGGGTGCCGAGGAGTTATGTTGAAAAGGGCCAAATACGCCTCTCAAAGCCTAGTTTTAAAAAAGATCTGACAACTCATTAATGTAGTTCTTAAGTGGCTATATCAGAGTCATTAATGAGTGTTCAAGTTCTCAAGAAATGTGGAGACAGTCATTATTAGAAGGCATTAATGACTATTACGCCGACATGAAGTCTTTGGTCAACTCCGAGGATACTTGTTCCCGACTAAAGAACGTTTGAGCGTTAGTGTCAAACGCCAAAAAGAGGTATTTAATGACGAAGGGTTGGGCCATGAATGCTCGGCTGTTCCCAAGCAAAGGTCGACACGCCCGAGGAGTCTAGTCTTGAGAAGATTTGATGAGATGATACTCATTATGTTAGGAGTCTAGTCTTGAGAAAATTTGATGAGATGATACTCATTATGTTAGGATATGAGTGTAAACCATTAAATTCTTAAGATGGGATTCAAGGGCACTGTCATCATTACAAATTTAAGTATAAATATCCCTCAAGAAATTGGACTAAGGTATGTAATCTAAAAGGGGAAAATATTGTGGCTTGAATGCCGACTGACTTAAATTTCGGAGGGGATTAATTGGGTACACACCCGACTCTTTTCCTAATCATTTGATTATTTCAGGTTCATCATTTAGAATCATCCAACGTATTGATATCTCAACTCATTGCAAGAATCCGTCTATGCACAAATATAAATCTCAATCACTTCCCTTGGTCAAGGATAATAATTTGGATCAATAAATGTTTTTTTAGTACTCTACATGTTTAATGGTCTATACTTAACGAAATCTTATCAGCAACTTGTTTTCTTTAATCGACGGTGTCTTGTGGGACATATAATCACATCATGAACAGATAGATGCAAGTAGAATCTATATGAGCCACGAACCTTTGCCTAGAATTAATAACATGAATGAATGAGACCCATCCACCTCCTAGGTCTTTTTTTATCCTTCTCTCTCTCTTTTTTCTTTGTCAACCCCTCTAAAATACAAAGGTTTAAGCTAATCCAATGGCCACTAAATGGATAAATAACAATAAAATGATTTACACTTGATGAACTATACACTAATAGATCCATCATTATCTTGGAGATTTTAGAGACTCAACTTGGGATTTCCCTTGAGGACCCTTCATCCTTATGAAGAGTCTGTATTGATCAAATGTCATGGCAGGGTACAAGGCAGGTTTTTCCTGCGTCACGAGCTCCGTCGCCGGTTGTAAGAGCAGATCGCCCCTGGGATTGTAGAAGAAGGCGAGTGAAAGACGCTCTTGGGCTGAATTAACGATCACTCGGTGCTCGACACTTTTGTAAATAGCATTGCTTAGAACCTAAATGATCAGTGAAAAGGTGGACATACATAAGTAATATATTCAAACAAAGCTCAAGGAAAAACTAGGTTAAACGATCAGTAAATTTAAAGGGTAAACAAGAAAATTTTATCTTACTCTTATTGATATAAGAGTATCACAATATGGAAGAAAATGAATTCTTTTTCGACGTTATAAAGAGTATCAAGAGAATAAGCACGCGGGAAAACACAACCATCAGCTGGCCGGTGAGAGCGAGAAATTTGGATTATATTGGGTGCTTTTCCCATCAATTATTCGGATTTGCACCGTGTATCGTAATCTTGTATTATATGAATTGTTTGATCATCAAACAATTCTTATTAACATAAACACAATATAAACCGAAAAGATATTTCGTTGGCATGACACGACTCAAAATACACGATACGACTCGATTGACATCCTTATGTTGTGTAATATTGACTAAGAATCCATGAGACTTAGTCTGTGTTTTCCAATATAATTCCTGTGGTTAAAATCACTATAAAGAAGTCAAAAGACGACAAGGATAAGATTGATAAATGGGTGTTGGAATTTCACACCTTCAAAGGCCTATTATTTCATCATGAGAGAGATTTGTGTGATGGTTGTCTAAGGGGGGCAAAGTTATCATAGGTATTTTCCGTGTTCTTTACGCGCGTGTGTGTGTGTCAAGTGGCATATATTGCAATCAAACAGTGATTTGAAAGTGTAAAAAACACAAAAAAATGTCTAAAATTAATGCGAACAGATGGTGGGTAGAAAAGATAAGTTGCGGAGGGATGAGTTATAAATTCCGTGCATCGAATAAATCTATTCCATTTATATTACGAAAAATTTAGAAAAAAGGGGGCTTTGGGTACCCATTTTTCAATTCTTAGTGTTTTGATTTTTTTTTTAATTACAAAACCAAGGTTCCCTCCAATTACCACCTATCACATATATTTTTTACTATTCACTACCCCCATATATCTCAAAAATTCTACAGTTGTAACTCATAATTGATACTTGGCTAAATATAATTTCTGAATAGAACAAGATGGAGAGGGTACAGATTATGTTCATAATACCCTACGTAGCCACTGTCAGTACAAAGGTATATAGAATTTTAGATTTTTTTTTGTGGGTGGGGGAGAGAGGGGAGGGGGGTCGATTTGAGATTTGAGATTTTTTCATATTAAATCTCCTATATGCAAACACTTAAAATGAGGGTGGTTTATAAACTACCCAAAAAAGGAGGGTGGTTTAGTTTCCAAGTTTCCCATATTAACCTCTTGGAAAGTAAGTGCAAATTGCAGAAATTCCCCCAAGTTGAAGATTTGTCATGTTCATTCCAAACAATGCATAGGGACAAGTTGGCACAGGAGGTCAAGTTAAGTGCATGGACACAATGAGAAAGGCACTTTGTTACATGCAGACCACCTTCCTCTTAAGGTACACTATCTAACTTTTTTTATAATTATAAGTTTTGTCACAATAAGAAAGTCTTAAATACACACATGTTTTTTTAAGATCTTTTGACCAAAGTTGAATGATTGGTTACTGGCCCATCAAAACATGACCCCTCCATGTGCCTTTGTTTCATGAATTCCAAGCCAAACACTTCTCATTCTATAATTCTATGGATAATCTAAAAAACCCGAAAAAATCACAAAAAAAAAAAAAAATCCGAAACAATTATAAAAAAAATTAATAAAATTTTGTGTACTTCAAATATTTATTTTTTGTTAATTTATTCTTCATTGTATAAAAAGTTAAATCTACAATTAGACTATTATTATGTGTGTACCAACGGGGCATGTGTGGCAAGCATACAACCTTACTAATAAAGGTGTCTTTGAGAATTTGGTTATGCTTGTCAATTTGATCCCCTAAAATATTCGATCTGCATTACTTTGGCTCCTAATCAAACAATCTGTCAAGTTTTTTTACTAAAATAATTACGTGTTATTTTTTAGACGATATCACGTGTCCAGTACGATCATTCCGTCAAAAATTTAACAATCTATTTATGTATGAATTAAATTAATAAAATTGATACAATAAAGACTGATTAACAAAATATATTAAGGACTTTATAAAAAAAAAAAAAAAAGAGAGAATAGACACCTGAATTTGGTCGCCAATGTTGACGATGAAGGCATGTGAAACCGGCTTCACGGTAATCCAGCTGCCGTTTTTTCGGACCTGAAGGCCCGGAACGTGCTCGTCCGGGAGGAGAATGGTCATGCCACCTGGGTCGGAGTGAGAGGATAGACCAAGGGTCAGGTCAGGTTGTGGACACTTTGGATAAAAATTCACTCTTAGACAGGCTCCAATATCTTCACCACCAAATGCATTTTGGAGATAATCCTCTTCCAATCCAAGGTTTCCTGAGAAAGCCCTCAATAAAACCCCACTTAACTTCACCAATTCTGCTGAGTATTCATCAATCACCTCCCTACACACAAACCATTATTATATATGTTTCTTTAAATAGTCTCTCGCTTGCTCGGAATAATTCGTCGCAAAAAATATTTCTTTTTTTATAATATACAGTATAAACATACTTAGAAAAGCACTAGATTCCAAATACACGTTAATCATACTTCTATACTAAACCTAACCTTAACCTAGCAATACTATAATTAGCCAACGAACTTAAGAAGTCATTATAAAACAGTAGAAAATAACACAAATAGAAAGCAATGATACAGAAATAGAAAGCACGGATAGGAAAACAAGATACAAGATTGGTCATGTGGATAAATAGAAATGAATTGCAAAAAAATGTAAAAAAAAAAAAAAAGCTATAGTTGAATAGTTGAATGATGAATCTGTGTACCGGAGAGAAGATGGACGTGCAGGCCACTTTTTATGATCCTTCAAGCATCCAGGAAGGTAGTGAAGGAAGTAGTAATCACTCCAATCAAGAATGGCACCTTTTGTGACTCCTAATCTGCTACCATACCCTTCATAAGTCTTTGGAGAATTCGCATAATCTTGTTTCACCTCCATGGGTTGATGAAAAAATCCTCTCCACACTTCCCTGGCACGGTCCATCAGCTCAGGGCTCACCCCATGATTCACAACTTGAAAGAACCCCCACTCTCGACACGCCTCGGAGATTCGAGCCAGAGTGGTTGCTCGAAGAGCACTGTCATCGCCAAATAGGCCTCCTAGATCAATCAATGGGATGTTAACATCATTTTGGCTGCCGGAAATTATCACCGGCCTCTGGGTTTGTGGCTTGATGTATCGATCGGGGAGTGCTTTCAAGCCACTCTCGGACAAGGATTGGACTCGGACAATTGGTTCTGGCCAATCTTGTGGGCAATTCATGATGATGTTTGGGTTCCAGGGTTGATCCTGCAATCAAACACAATGAAACAAACACTGGAACAAGCTCTTGTTTTTGAATTAATTAATTGTTCAGAGAGAGATGTTGAAGTGTGGAGGAGGGAAGAGGAAGGGATTGGGGAGGGGGCGTGCTAAGTGGTAGAGGAGGAGTACGGTGGATGGGATGGGTCTTGTATTAGTGAAATGGACTTGAAGAGAACGTGAAAGAAATGTGGTAATAAAATATGATTGTAGGAGGGGAAGAAAAGTGATGAGTGAGGGTGAAGGTGTAGGTGTAGGTGCAGGTGTAAGCATATGTCTATTTTTATGTGTGTATCGTGTAGCTATAGTCCATGGATGAGGCCAAGAGCTGACAGGGCCGACATAGAAAAATAGTTCAGTTCAGTTTCAGCCATAAATCTATATATACACATTTATTATATGAATATATGTATCATTCAACGAGAGTGATTGAGCCCATTTCGGCGCCGTGATCAACTTTGCTCTACCATTTGCCTTAGCCTAGGGTCTACCAGTACAGACGACAAATTGATGAAGTACACTAAATTTGTCTGTTTAGGATTGTGGAAGTCACTTTATATTTACCCTATTAACTGTTAACTTTAAATAAGATATAGATTACATACAAAACGACAGTCAAGTGCAGAAAAGTCTTCAGTTGTTTCATAATCGTGTAACTTAGCATGTTAATTGGTGAGGCAAATTCGTATTGAATTTTAATGAGTTTGTGTCCAAAAATATTTTATTTATATTTAATTTAATTATTAATTTATGTTCAACAAATCATATCTGATGAGATCTCAAAAATCACAGTCCAAACCCAATCGTATGTAGGGTTATTGATTCTGGTGTAGGAGTTGTTTAGGGTGATTAGACTATCAATCGAAAGGGAAGACACAGAAAATAAGTGATCGTCTTGATCGATAGACCAAGTTTACATTCACTGTAATAGAGTATTGGTTCCTTGACTTTGTATATTGAAACTTCGAAGTGTACAATGGGGATTCAAGCACTGGGCCCATGGTGTTTAGCTTATTGGGTGCTCACGGTTATTTTTTTTGGTTCTCTCGGTCACTCGTCCCTTGTAGGGCACTATTCTATATATATGAGACGCCTTTTTATGATTTCTGGTGGTCTTTTCTAACTTTTATCGATTCTGTGGGGGCCTCCTGTCCTTACCCTGCAAAAGCCTTTTTCAACCGGCGCCATTGCGCCCACAATCTCTGGGGCGTTATGCTCCGCCACCATCTGAATGCGGGAAGAGAAGATGTAGCTATCACAGGTTTTAGATATGGTCCCCCTGTCCTCTAGACGTGTGGCACAACAGGATGGCTCTAAGACAAAGATCTGATTCCTGCTCTTCAAATTGCCTTTCAGCTAGCACTTGATCGGGCCTGGACTGGACCACCGCCACTCGGGTGCCCATTGGGACTCGCCACTTCAGCTCTTTGTCATGGGTTAATCAATAGTGCTTTATTTTGGGCCAACGGACTTTCCTCTAGTTCCTCATGCCCATTTGGGCTTCAGGCTTATCGGTGGCCCATGCCCAGAATTTTACCCCTATCAGTGTCATATCGGGTTCGTGTAGTATATGAATCGTGTATGCTTGGTATATAAACGAGTCGTACCATGTATTATTTTTTTTGATTGATTTCACTCATACTCGATTTGTATATTAATCGTGTCGTATCAGGTCCACCCGTTTACTAAAAAAGTGACTTAAGGAGGACTAAAATCGTGTCATGTCATATTTTAACAGCCCATATTAGTAACTTTACCTATATATGTAAAAAAAATTGTTTATGTAACTTGGGTCAATAATCCCCAAGACAAATTTACAGATGTGCTAAGGTCCGCTCTCGTGAAGGTGGATATATTAACAAATATTATTGTTTAGGAGAGTTTAGTATGGAGAATGAAGATGGAGTGTAACGACATAGTGTGTACAATGATTGAATAATGGTGGAATTGTGTTCTTTTAATCTTGTGGAACTCAAAGAATAGAGGGCACCATCAAATGGAGAATAATCACCACTTTCTTATCGTGAACATTGACAGGTTAACTAAATGTGAAGAATTAGAATTTGACAAGTTGTTATGTGCGAAGGTTAGTAACTCGTAGCTCAAGTGGTAATAAAGACGATTTTTAAATTCAGACATCATGAGTTCAACTCTTGACAATTTCTTGAGATTAGGCAATGAAGAATTATTCTCTTATAAATATTCTAGTCTCGACGTGAATGATTTATCTTTAACCGGATCGTAGAAAAAATTAGTCAAGATCTGTATAAAATGATTCGGACACTCTTGATCGTTGAACAAAAAAAAGAATTGTGTGAAGGCTAGTTATTGGTGTCAACAAGTTGTATCTAGGAGATTTGGGGATTGAGAAGGGGGGTTTTGCGGTGGGGGGGTATATTATCGTGGTGTTTATGCTAACCTTAGCTAGTTCTTGTAAGGCGTACAAGTTTGTATATTTCTCAGAAACAATTATAACATGTATCTTTTTCTTGTGTTTGTACTGAATAATTAATGGATTGTGGATGCACCTTAAGATCTAACTAACATTAATATGAATTCAAATTAAATTTTATTTTCACGTGGGTCTACAAAAACATGATAGATCATAATAACGTTTAAAAAATCAAATATATCGGAGAGTCAACCCTAATGCACCTATGCCACGCTCCACATTTTTAGCAACAATTAACCACAACTACTATTAATACAGTAATGCAACATGACAACTGACTATATGGAGTTTTTATTAGGGCTCAAATGACATGGAACTAAATAAAGAAGTCCAAGTCAGCTGTCATGTCATTTAAACTCCAAATTTGATCCAATTAATAACCTCCAACAACAATGATGTTGGATATATTTTGAGAAATTTGTGTTTAACAATATCAAGATTTAATTTTACACAGCTGCTATTTACAAAACCAAAACACTAGAATAGTAGTCTAGTACTGTTAGCTCTTAAACACCCGCACAAGGATGACATGCACAAATTGAAAAAATGGTCCTTAACAGGCGACAGAAATTCACACTTAATTCGACCCGTGACAATTGTAGCTACTACTATTATGGTCCCCTATCTTATAAGATCTTTAAAATATAGTCTAAACATAAACTTAAGTGCACATATTCTGACTGCAAGAAATAAACTCATACAATGACATTAGTTTAATTAATGTTTCTTTTTGTTGGTGTTTTCAATTGGAAATGACCTTTTATGGAGGTATGGTTGATGTGGAGATATGGTCCCAGTTCCTCTTATTTCGAGTTCTCCCATTATTGCTCAATAATATCCACAGAACCAAGCCACAACAAAAACAATTGGCAGATAGTTTGACAGGTCCCATGACATGTATAATTCATCAGAAAAACAATCTAATTGGATGAGTTTGATCGATCATGTTGGTTAACCCTTCAAAGATTTCGTAGAGAGAGAATTAAAATCTTATTATTGTGATTCCACATTGGCCAAATGAGATAAAATAGACTTAGCACATACGCAAACTAACATCATACAATAATATTTAGGGAAAACTTCATTTGCATTCTTTATATAATGTCGTATCTTCATAGACACCCTTTGCATTATCTGAAATTAAAGGGTGTAGGTATTGATTTTTCATAAAACTTTCAATGTAAAAGATGGGTATATCTGACTAGTGAAAAATTACGAGACTCATGAACCCATAACTTGTAAACGCATTTTTAACAGTGAGAAGTGTTCGAAATAATTCATAAATAAGCCTATCAATAGATTAGATTTTAATGTGACAATAATTCAAACCTGAATTTGAATTCAACTGGTCAAATATAGATTAGTTTTTTGGACCGAGTATCTAAATTTGAATATGAATTTCCAACACATTGCAATTTTAATGTACTAATTAACACTGTAACAGTAATTTTAGCATTTCTAATGAATTCTTTGTGATATCGACTTTTTACAATGTCAATAACTTAAGTTCATGGAGAAAATATTAGATGTAACAGTTATACCACATTACCGAGTGATGTAATCATACATTAATAAGTAATCAAGTTTGTGAGCCTCACAAAAACTCATAATTATTGAATCGTGTAATACACAACCACCTCTATATAAAGAAGTGAGGTCTATTTTATATATTTTTTAGTTTTTCTAGTAGATGATTACACCATGTGAAATTATTGATGCTGTAACCATTACAATCCAATATTTATTCAAGCTGATGGTAGAAATTAGAAATTATGGTTATAACAAGCATATAAACTAGAAGGGATGTCAATAAAATTTCACAAAATTCAGAGACTGTCTTGAAAATATGACGTCATGCAAGAGCGTGGATGACATCTTTTCTAATTATAATACAATCAATCGACTTATATACCTGAAACATGTATGAATTAAATTAATATTAACATATTACGTGCCAATTTAAACACGACACGATACAAACTATTGTGGTCCTAGTAATGACCATGCCATGACAAAGATAAAGTGACCCACGAGTGGTCACCATGGATCCTCCGTAAATTCATAGGGAAAAGGATGAGAAAAATTAAAAAATGAGGGGAAAAAAAACCAACCTAGAGAAGGTACCATTTTTTTTTATTGGAGAAGAATCAATTAACCAACACCCACATAATGAAATGGAAGTTAACAAACACCACTAATTACTGAAAAAATCACAGATCATAACATAAACATATATAGCGTTTGCTTGATAATTTACATGAGGACCTCAACTCATAATAGGAACGAAAGAGTCCTATCTCCCAACCGAACAATGAATTTGGAATCCCAAATTATATTCCAAATTAATATAAATCCTTGGATCAGTGGATCCTAATAATTTTTTTCAATGGGACCCATTCATCCAAAAATCCCTACTCATTTGAGATGCAAAATATTACCACTTCTATCTGAAGGGGGTAACTCCCTTTATTACACGTGTTACAACATTAAATGAGCTCACGTGAGTGACTAGACAAGGCATGTGAGAAAGACATCAATCACTCAGACAAATAGACCAGGTCGAGCTGTTTGATGAGTTCGATGAGAAAGGGAAGAGGTCGGTCCTTTGTGTAACCGAGCTGTTTGAAACAGTTAAACGAAGAGCAAAAGATTTGCCTATAACTCAAACATCCAAGATAAGCTAATATGCTTAATTGTAGGCCAGGCTAAGGGGATTGCTAGAGAGATTTCAGCAACTTTCCAAACAAAATCGCTGAATTGAAGGAAGGTGTGCCACCT